TACTGCTCCATACCCCAAAGGTAGTTGTCTACTTCCTTGGCCACCCTAGTCCTCGTAAACTCCTTAGGCTTGGAGACATCCAATCTGGACTTGGACACTCCAGCAAACATGCCATTCCCAATGGCAGTCTTGCAAGTAACGAGCTCATTGGTAAGCTCTTCCATCCGCTGGCACATGGCATCCATGCCATCTCACAAAGTCAGCACTTCAGCCTCCAAGGCCCCATTCTTTCGGGTGAACACATCCAAGCCTTTGTTGAGAGCAGCTTCCAGCTCATTTTGGATCTCCTCCCCCATGGAGTCTAGCGATGCAATGTGAGTCTCTACCTCCTTCAAGCTTCTCCTCCATGTCACCCATGGTCACCTCTACCTTGGCCAGCCTACCATCCATGGTAGACCAGATATCTCTAGAACTGGCTTTCCTACCTCTTCCACGCCCATGCTCCTAGGCCTTTGGTTATTGGTTAGCAGCGTCACTTTGGGATGCCATCTCTTCAATCATGATCTAACTTGCACAACACAAACACGTAGAATCGAACTTGCTCTGATACCAACTGTTATGGGCTCTAACCTTAGACTCAGAATCCGTGCGGCCTTAGGCATGGAATCTCCTCCTTTATGCCTAAGCTAACCTAAAACACAAGCGTGCGGGTACTAGAACAATGGGAAGGGCTAATTACGCAAGTTAAAGAGAAACAGGATAACAAGACAGAATGCTAGAAATGCTCTTGTATTCACTGAAACAAAAGTGTTTGATGGTGTACAAATGAGGGTGGAGCAGCCTTCTATTTATAGTTGAGGCTCCAGCTTACACTTAATGGCAATATCCCTAGAATAAAGGCTAAAATCATGGGATTATATAGATTCCAATCAATCAAGATTATAATTCTTGATTTCTCGGGCCAACTAATTCTGCCTGCTGATCCTGCATGCTTCCAGAAGCTTCCCTTACGTGTCCAGCACCTTGGGCCCTTCTGGATGTGGTGCGGGCAGCTTGTATGCCAGGCCTTGGCCTCATGGGCTGGCCTGCAAGTTGGGTGGGCGTTCTGACCTCATCTCCTAGGCCTTGCGTGCAAATACCCACCAGTGCGCCTGGTCTGCGGGCCTCAACCTCTGGCTCGCCTGTTGGTGCGCCTGATGTGCCTGATGCACCCGCCCAAGGTGTGACACCAGCACCAAGGCCTAGCATGTGCCGATGGTGTTCGACGCACCGCCCGCACCAGGGGCCATCTTGTGCCGATGGTGGTCGAGGCAACCGCACGCACCAGGGGTCGACTAGTGCCGATGGTGCTCGAGGCAACTGCCCGCACCAATGCCCGACACGTGCCGATGGTGTTCGAGGCAATCACCTACACGATGGGCCATCTTCTACCGATGGTGTTGAGGTAACTACTCACACCAAGGCCCAGCATGTGTCGATGGTGTTCGACATAACTGCCCACACCAGGGGCCATCTTAAAACGATGGTGGTCGAAGCAATCGCCTGCACCAAGGGACGGTTGGTGCCGATGGTGCTCGAGGCAATGGCTCGCACCAAGGCTCGGCACATGCCACTGGTGTTCAAGGTAACCGCCCGTAGCAAGACTCAGCATGTGTTGATGGTGGTCAAGGCAACCGCCCGCACCATGACCCAGCATGTGTCGATGGTGTTCAATGTAACCGGGCCATCTTGTGCCGATGGTGGTCAAGGTAACCACCAGCACTAAGGGTCGACATGTGCCAATGGTGATCGAGGCAACCGCCTGCACCAGGGCCCAGGATGTATCGATGGCGGTCGAGGTAAGTGCCCATACCAAAGGGCAACCTGTGCCGATGATGGTCAATGCATGTGCCATCACCATGCGCCATCATGTGCCATTGATGGTCGAGGCCTTGGCCGAAGTTTGATTTTGAGCCACGATGCACATGCTGGGCTCGGGTATGTGCTAATGCCACATTTTTTTCACCCGGGGCACCATCGTAGGAGAACCTGACCGACAACATTAGGGGTTTCAGCGATTGGGGAGGCTGGGGGGTGTGAGCAAATGATGTGCGATGGGTGCTAGTACTTGGCCCTTATATTGGCCCCCTATCCCTCATCTAACCTCGAGAACTCATACCCCCTTAAAGAGCATTTAAGATTTTATAGGTTTGCTGCCAGTAGCCATTAAAGTGTCTGAAATGGGGACACTTTTTTCAAATGGTCACAAAATCTTCTCCACTTCGAGTTTTTAGCTGAAATTTTTTATGCATGCCAACAAAAGTACAAGGATCACGTCTACATAATTTGGGGCTGCACCTATGACACGTGCCCTTGGGGGCTATGGGCCCCTACTGCGAGTCGACAATCGGGCGGCAGGCACGCATATCGCTTTTTGCCCAAATTTTGACTTAGAGGCGTTCAGTCATAATCCAGGCATGGTAGCTTCGCGCCATTAGCTTTTCAACTGAGCGTGATGACTAATTATGTGAATCAACGGTTCCTTTCGTACTAGGTTGAATTGCTATTACGACACCGCCATTAGTAGGGTAAAACTAACCTATCTCACGATGGTCTAAACCCAGCTCATGTTCCCTATTGGTGGGTGCACAATCCAACACTTGGTGAATTCTGCTTCACAATGATAGGAAGAGTCGACATCGAAGGATCAAAAGGCAACATCGCTATTAACGCTTGGCTGTCAGAAGCCAGTTATCCCGTGTGGTAACTTTTTGACACCTCTAGCTTCAAATCTCGAAAGTCTAAAGGATCGATAGGCCAGGCTTTCACTGTTCGTATTTGTACTAGAAATCAGAATCAAACGAGCTTTTACCCTTTTATTCCATACGAGATTTCTGTTCTCGTTGAGCTCATCTTAAGACACCTGCGTTATCCTTTAACAGATGTACTACCCCAGCCAAACTCCCCAGTTGACAATGTCTTCCACCTGGATTGACCGGTCGAGGCTGGCCTTGGGTCCAAAAGAAGGGTCGTGCCCCACCTCTGATTCACGAAATAAGTAAAATAACTTTAAAAGTAATGGTATTTCAATTTCCCTCGAGGGCTCCCACTTATCCTACACCTCTCATGTCATTTCAAAAAGTCAGACTAGAGTCAAGCACAACAGGGTCTTTTTTCCCCGCTGATTCCACCAAGCCCGTTCCCTTGGCTGTGGTTTCGCTGGATAATAGACAGGGACAGTGGGAATCTCGTTAATCCATTCATACGTGTCACTAATTAGATGACGAGGCGTTTGGCTACCTTAAGAGAGTCATAGTTACTCCCGTCGTTTACTCGTGCTTGGTTGAATTTCTTCACTTTGACATTTAGAGCACTGGGCAGAAATCACATTGCGTGAGCATCCGTAGGGACCATCGCAATGCTTTGTTTTAATTAAACAGTCGGATTCCCCTTGTTCATACCAGTTCTGAGTCGACTGTTCATCGCTTGGGGAAGGCCCCTGAGGGAGCCGTTCCTAGTCCAACCCCCGACTGACATGCGGTGACCCACTCTCATCGTGGGAGTAGCTCAAGCAGTGCACCGATAGTCGATGGGTTCGGGACTGGGACCTCCATGCCCAACCTTCAAAGCCAATCCTTTTCCCGAGGTTACGGATCCATTTTGCCGACTTCCCTTGCCTACCTTGTTCCATCAACCAGAGGCTGTTCACCTTGGAGACCTGATACGGTTACAAGTATAACTGGGCACAGACAACACTCGATCCTCTCGATTTTCAAGGGCCACCGGGGGTGCACCAGACACCACGCGACGTGCGGTGCTCTTTCGACCGCTGAACCCTACCTCCAGCTGAGCTGTATGCAGGGTGGGCGGGCCGTTAAATAGAAAAGATAACTCTTCTCGATGCCCCCGTCGACGTCTCCGGACTCCCTAACATTGCCATCAGCTGTCGTGTCCCGGTTCAGGAATTTTAACCCAATTCCCTTTTGAAGCTCACGCGGGACGCGCTGTCGGATGGGCTTCTCCCGTCTCTTAGGATTGACTAACCCATGTGCAAGTGCCGTTCACATGGAACCTTTCCCCTCTTCGACCTTCAAAGTTTTCATTTGAATATTTGCTACTACCACCAAGATCTGAACCGACGGTCACTTCACCCGGGCTTGTTCCACGGGTTTTGCAATGACCGCCATGCCCTCATACTCATCGAGGCTTGGCCCTTACCCCGACGATCGAGTATAGGTCACGCGCTTAAGCGCCATCCATTTTCTGGGCAAGTTGATTCGACGGGTGAGTTGTTACACACTCTTTAGTGAATTTTGACTTCCATGACCACCATCCTGCTGTCTTATTCGACCAACACCCTTTGTGGGTTCTAGGTTAGTGCGCAGTTGGGCACCGTAACCCGACTTTCGGTTCATCCCGCATCGCCAATTCTGTTTACCAAAAATGGCCCACTTGGAGCTCTCGATTTCGTGGTGCGGCTCAATGAAGCAGTCGTGCTGTCCTACCTATTTAAAGTTTGAGAATAGATCAAGGGCGTTGCACCCCCGATGCCTCTAATCATTAGCTTTACCCGATAGAACTCTAGGGGGGCTCTAGCTATCTTGAGGGAAACTTCGGAGGGAACCAGCTACTAGATGGTTTGATTAATCTTTCACCCCTATACCCAAGTTAGACGAACAATTTGCAAGTCAGTATCACTGCGGGCCTTCACCAGAGTTTCCTCTGGCTTCACCCTGCTCGGGCATAGTTCACCATCTTTCGGGTCTCAACGGGCATGCTCGCACTCAAACCCTTCTCAGAAGATCAAGGTCAGTTGGTAGTGCACCCGTGAGGGATCCTGCCAATCAGTTTCCTTGTGCCTTACCGGTTTCCTAGCCCGTTGACTCGCATGCATGTCAAACTCCTTGGTCCGTGTTTCAAGACGGGCTGGATGGAGAGCCTACAAGTCGATGCCTGGAGCATGCTGGTGCCGAGGCACGTTGAGATGTTGCGTGCTGCATTCCACGATCATGGCGACGACATCTCCGTGGGCACATTAAAAGCCCGAGCTTGGGCCGCCAGTATGACCCGCGTCGGTCCACGCCTCGAGTCGATCGACGGATCAGCTCTCGCTGTTCCACATCTGACTAGGGCCATCGCTGGCCCCAATCAGCTTCCCTCCCGACAATTTCAAGCACTCTTTGACACTCTTTTCAAAGTCTTTTTCATTTTTCCCTTACGGTACTTGTTCGCTATCGATCTCTCGCCCGTATTCAGCCTTGGACAGAATTTACCGCCCGATTAGGGCTGCATTCCCAGACAACCCAACTCGCGGACAGTGCCTCATAGTGCCCGCCCCCTTCCCCCAGAGCCCGACGGGGGGAGGGGGGTCAGAGGGGGGCGATGGTGCATGACACCCAGGCAGGCGTGCCGTCGACCTAATGGGTTAGGGTGCAACTTGCGTTCAAAGACTCAATGGTTCACGGGATTCTGTAATTCACACCAAGTATCGCATTTCACTACGTTCTTCATTGATGTGAGAGCTGAGATATCTGTTGCCGATAGTCGTTCAATTTTTTTATGACAAAAAGAGTCACAGTGCCACCCACGCACGCACCACGGACAGGATGGCGACAGCGCGCGTGCTCTATTTTCGTTTTGATTCCTTGGTGTGATTCGTGTCGGGGGTTCGTTGTTCGACGGTGGGCGAGATGATGCCGATCGTTTCGCTCACCCCGTAAGGGAGATAGAGCGATCGTTGCCCCCGCCTAGGGCCGGAGGGGGCTCGGGGCATAGGGGCACCCTCGCCTCTTTGGTGTTTCGTTAACATGTCCGTAGGTCATCCATCGAGCGGGGTTTCGACAATGATCCTTCCACAGGTTCACCTACAGAAACCTTGTTACGACTTCTCCTTCCTCTAAATGATAAAGTTCAGTGGACTTCTCGTGATGTCGTGGGTGGTGGACCGTCCACGTCGTCATGATCCAAATACTTCATCAGACCATTCAATTGGTAGCAACGATGTGCGATGTGTACAAAGGGTAGGGACGTAGTCAGCGCGAGCTGATGACTCACGCTTACTAGGAATTCCTCGTTGAAGACCAACAATTGCAATGATCTATCCCCATCATGATGAAATTTCAAAGATTACCTGGGCTTGTCGGCCAAGGTTATAGACTCGTTGATTACATCAGTGTAGCGCCCGTCCGGACATGTTATTGCCTGAAACTTCCTTGGCCTAAGCGGCCATAGTCCTTCTAAGAAGCTAGCCATGAAGGATCACCTCCGCGTAGCTAGTTAGTAGGCTGAGGTTTCATTCGTTAATAGAATTAACCAGACAAATCGCTACACCAACTAAGAACAGCCTTGCACCACCACCTATAGAATAAAGAAAGAGCTCTTAGTTTGTCAATCCTTACTATGTCTGGACCTGGTAAATTTCCCTATGTTAAGTCAAATTAAGCCGTAGGCTCCACTCCTGGTGGTGCCCTTCCATCAATTTCTTTAAGTTTCAGCCTTGTGACCATACTCCCTCCGAAACCCAAAGACTTTGATTTCTCATAAGATGTCGGCAGAGTCTTAAAAGTAACATCTGTCGATCTCTGGTCAGCATCGTTTATGGTTGAGACTAGGACAGTATCTAATCATCTTCGAGAAAACATCCTTGGCAAATGCTTTCGCAGTTGTTCATCTTTCATAAATCCAAGAATTTCACCTCTGACTATGAAATACGAATGCCCCCGACTGTTCCTATTAATCATTACTCCGATCATGAAGGCCAACACAACAGGACCTAAATCTTATGATGTTATCCCATGCTAATGTATACAAGCGTAGGCCTGCTTTGAACACTCTAATTTCTTCAAAGTAACAGCATCGGAGGAACAACTTGGGTAATTAAGTCCAAGAGCACATCATCGATAGTAGGGACGAGTAGATCGGTGTTCACCGTAAGGTAGACCGGATGACCCAACCCTAGTTCCAACTACGAGCTTTTTAACTGCAACAACTTAAATATACATTATTGGAGTTGGAATTATCGCGACCGCTGGCACCAGACTTGCCCTCCAATGGATCCTCGTTAAGGGATTTAGATTGTACTCATTCCAATTACCAGACTCATGGAGCCCGATATTGTTATTTATTGTCACCACCTCCCCATGTCAGGATTGGGTAATTTACGCGCCTGCTGCCTTCCTTGGATGTGGTAGCCGTTTCTTAGGCTCCCTCTCCTGAATTGAACCCTAATTCTCTGTCACCTGTCACCACCATAGTAGGCCACTATCCTACCATCGAAAGTTGATAGGGCAAATTTTTGAATGATGCGTCACCGGCACAAAGGTCGTGCGATCTGTCAAGTTATTATGAATCATCAGAGCAACGGGCATAGCCCGCATCGACCTTTTATCTAATAAATGCATCCCTTCCAGAAGTCGGGGTTTGTTGCACATATTAGCTTTAAAATTACTATGGTTATCCAAGTAGTAGATATCATCAAACAAACTATAACTAATTTAATGAGCCATTGTAGTTTCACAGTCTGAACTAGTTCATACTTACACATGCATGGCTTAATCTTTGAGACAAGCATATGACTACTGGCAAGATTAACCAGGTAGCATTCTTTTGGGACGTTGGCACCGGGTGGGCCTCGACGCATCATCGAACGATGGAGAGAGCCTGACGCGGAGCGCAAGTCATGTGTGTAGAGCACGTGAAATGCATAGCATTGGACGAACGGGGGTCGAGAGCCCGTGCCCGCTAAATGTTTCACATCCAAGAGCACGATCGAACGCCGGTGCACCAATGCGGCCACAGAGGATTGGGTGGCACGCTTGGGACATCGGCCATGATTGACGTCCAACCCGTGGCCCCTCGGGACACAAGACGGATGAGGGATGGTGAGACATCTAATTTCCATCGATTCAGGTATGCAACACAGGATCCCAATCGTGCCCCCCTAGGTACGATGATCGTATGGAAAGAGATTGAAGACGATGATAGGTCGACAGTTCGATGCACAGAGCACGGAGCTTGCCCACATGCACAACCATAGCACCACTCATATGCCCATTACATACAAGTGGCAGCATCCACACACGTCGGTCCACAACCCACTCGATCGATTACTCGATGAACGAGCAGAGGAAACGACGTACGAGGCCACGCCACAACCGCTTGGCATGAGAAAAACATGAGCAAGGGCCACGAGACTACCCCTACCATTCGACAGGCAACAACAAAGCAACACCACCAATGCTTGGCCTAGCCAGGACCGCACGCGTGAGCTCCGCTGACACCACCCCAGGGGGACATTACCCAATTCAAGGACTTGTTCTTGGGGTCTCAGGCAGCATCGACTGCGTGCACGACCTCGTCGAGGCCTAGGCATTTTTATGGTCGACGAGAAGGGACTGCGAGACCGTCAAATACCGAGAGACCTGGTCGAGCCAAGCCTGCAACCGCGACTTCTGCTCGCACCACCCTAGGGAGCCATTGCTCGATTCAGGGACTTGGTCTGGGGTCTAGGGCAGGATCCATTGCATGCATGGGTTCGAGCTCAGCTCCCTTTTTTTGCATGCACGCCAACCGATCGAGGCCATGGGCACCTGCCAGTCACCAGAGCAACCAGTCGTCGAACAAAACGACCGAAAGACTTGCACATCTTGTATTTCACTCGAGGGACATTACCCTAGGTGTACGTAATGGGAGGCCCATCATGCACTCCTACTCCCCCTGTGGGGGAAAAAAAGTGGTGTCAGACCACCACCCCCTAAAGAGCATTAGAGATTTTACAGATATCCTACCAGTAGACGTTAAAGTGTCTGAAATGGGGACACTTTTTCCAAACAGGCATATCCCGCACCGAGGGTGAGCAGGTGCGGATAGTGGTTAGGGTATGTGCCCGCACCAAGGGCCAGCGCGTGTCGATGATGGTTGATGCGACTGCCTGCACCAAGGGCCAGCGTGTGTCGATGGTGGTCGAGGCAACCGCCCACACCAGCTCGAGGCATGTGCCTACACCAAGGCCCAGCATGTGCCGATGGTGTTCGATGTGACCGCCCGCACCAGGGGCCATCTTCTATCGATGGTGGTCGAGGCAAGAGCCTGCACTAAGGGCCGACTTATGCCGATGGTGGTCGAGGCAACCACCCATACCAAGGACCATCTTCTATTGATGGTGGTCGAGGTAACCGCTCGTACCAAGGCCTAGCACATGCCGATGGTGTTCGAGGTAACCGCCCACACCAAGGGCTAGCTTGTATCGATGGTGCTCGAGGCAATCGCCCGCACTAAGGCCCAGCACGTGCCGATGGTGTTCGAGGCAACCGCTCGTACTAGGGGCTAGGATGTGCCGATGGTGTTCGACGCAACTGCTCGTACCAGGGGCCATCTTCTACCAATGGTGGTTGAAGAAAGAGCCCACACCAAGGGCCATCTTCTACCGATGGTGGTCAAGGCAACCGCCAACACTGAGGCCCAGCATGTGCCAATGGTGTTCAAGGCAACAGCCCGCACTAGGGGCCAGCATGTGCCAATGGTGTTCGACATAATTGCCCGCATCAGGGGCCATCTTTTTCCAATGGTGGTTGAGGTAAGAGCCCACACAAAGGGCGAGATGTGCCGATGGTGCTCGAGGCAACCGCCCGTACCAAGGCCTAGCACATGCCGATGGTGTTTGAGGTAACCACCCGCACCAAGGCCCAAGCATGTGCCGATGATGGTCGAGGCAACCGCCAGTGTCATGGGCTCTGACCTTAGACTCAGAATCCATGTGGCCTTAGGCTTGGAATCTCTTCCTTTATGCCTAGGTCAGCCTAAAACACAAGCATGCGGGCACTAGAACAATGGGAAGGGTTGATTACGCAAGTTAAAGAGAAACATGATAACAAGGCAGAATGCTGGAATATGCTATATATTCACTGAAATGGAAGTGTTTGATGGTGTACAAATGAGGGTGGAGTAGCCTTCTATTTATAGTTGAGGCTCCAGTTACACTTAATGGCAATATACCTAGAATAAAGGCTAAAATCATGGGATTATACAAATTACAATCAATCAGGATTATAACTCCTGATTTTTAGGGTCAACCAAATCTGCCTGCTAATCTTGCATGCTTCCAAAAGCTTCCCTTTCGTGTCCAGCACCTTGGGCACTTCTGGATGTGGTACGGGCAGTTTGTATGCCAGGCCTTGGCCTCACGGGCTGCCTGCAAGCTGGGCAGGCAATCTGACCTCGTCTTCTAGGCCTTGCATGCAAATACCCGCCAGTGTGCCTGGTCTGTGGGCCTCAA